AATTGCCTAGCTATATGGTAAATGCCGAGCGAGTAAATAGTTGCCCAGCGCCTTAACCGGCACTCTTAATTATGCAAGGGGAAGTAAGGTATGGTAAACATGTTGGCCCTCTAGGGTAGACTAAGTGTGAGGGTAGAGAAGGTAAACAATAGACTGCATGAATAGGTGAGACTTCCTGAGATAATGCTACAAGAAGGATGTGGTGGCTGTGGGAAAGTATGTGATACCCAAGAAACTGTGGAACCAGGTATAGCGGCTCAACAACTAGATTACATAGTTTAAGTGACTAGTTCCCACCAAGTACAAAACGGTTGATCCAAAAGAAGGCAAAAAAAACCCAGTTTGAAGCGCTGCCAATTTGCATAAAGCTGGGAAAAAATTCCTTCTTGACCCCATAATGGCGGTCAGATTTCCTTGGATCAAGCAGTTATTGCCTTTTCATCGGTTCGTAGTGTCAGGCCTTTAATAGGTCTGATAGTGGTTGAGATACTTGGATGTTAATGTGAAGTCTGTAAATTTGAAATTTCCCGGAACCCGAAACGCCTTGAGTATGGTATGAGGACCAGGGCCGGACTGGCCCACCGGGATACCGGGAAATTTCCCGGTGGGCCGCGGCACCTGGGGCCGGTCTGAGAGCCCTAATCATTGGGCTGACAGCTCCTGTGATCCCGGCCGGCCATGTGTGAGCTGTGCGGCCGCACAGAGCCCCATGGGAGCAGGGGGAACCAGGCGGCCAGCACAGCTCACACATGGCCGGCCGGGATCATAAAAAAAAAAAATAAAAAATTGTGGCGGGGGCGGAGCTTACGTGCGGCGGGGCTTAATGTGCGGCGGGGGCCTAGCAGACTGCAGCATGGGAAGCAGGAAGGAGTCCCTGCTTCCCCAACAACAAGCCTCCAGGAGCTCCAAGCAGGAGGTAAGAAGCAGGTCAGTGTGTCTGTGTGTGACTGCTGTCTGTGTGAGTGTGTGACTGTGTGTGACTGTCTGTGTGTGTGTGACTGTCTGTGTGCTGACTGCCTGTGAGTGTGTGACTATCTCTGTGTGACTGCCTGTAGGTGTGTGACTGTCTGTGTGAGTGTGTGACTGTCTCTGTGTGACTGCCTGTGGTGTGTGACTGTCTCTGTGTGACTGCCTGTGAGTGTGTGACTGCCTGTGAGTGTGTGACTGTCTGTGTGAGTGTGTGACTGTCTGTGTGTGACTGTCTGTGTGAGTGTGTGACTGTGTGTGACTGTCTGACTGAGTGTGTGACTGTGAGTGTGTGACTGTGAGTGTGTGACTGTGTGACTGTCTGTGTGTGACTGTCTGCCTGTGTGTGTGTGTGACTGTCTGCCTGTGTGTGTGCGTGACTGTCTGCCTGTGTGTGCGTGACTGTCTGCCTGTGTTTGACTGTCTGCATGTGTGTGTGTGACTGTCTGCCTGTGTGTGTGTGTGTGAGTGTGTGGCTGTCTGCCTGTGTATGTGTGTGGCTGTCTGCCTGTCTTTGTATGTGTGGGTGTTTGCCTCGGTGTCAGTGACTGTCTGCCTGTGTGTGTGTGTGGCTGCCTGCCTGGGTGTCAGTGACTATCTGCCTCTGTGTGTGTGCGCGCATCTGCTAGTGAGGAAGCCTCTCTGTGTGTGTGTGCCTGCTAGTGAGTTTGTTTGTGTGTGTGTGTGTGTGTGTGTGCCTGCTAGTGAGTGAGCTTGTATGTGTGTCAGTGAGCTTATCTGTAGGGATCATATGTGTGTGTGTGTTAGTGAGCTTGTCTGTAAGGAGCATGGGTGTGTCGGAGCCTGTCTGTGGTGAGCATGTGTGTACAGTGAGCTTGTCTGTAGTAAGCATGAGTGTGATCGTGAGCTTGTCTGTAGTGACCATATGTGTCAGTGAGCTTGTCTGTAGTGAGCATGTGTGTGTCAGTGAGCTTGTCTGTAGTGAATCTGTGTGTTAGTGAGCTCTTCTGTAGGGAGCGTGTGTGTCAATGGGCTTGTCTGTAGGGAGAGTGTGTGCGCATCAGTGAGCTTGTCTGTAGTAAGCGTGTGTGTGTGACAGTGAGCTTGTCTATAGTAAGCTTGTGTGTGTGTATCAGAGTTTGTCTGTACTAAATTTGTGTGTGCGCCAGTAACCTTGTCTGTGTGTGTCATTGTCTGTCAATGAGCCTATTTGTGTGCATCAGTAAGATTGTCTGTCTGTGTGTGAGTATGCTTTACTGTATAATTTAATTACCCTAAAAGAACTAATATTTTGAATTAGAAGAAGATATGTACCAATAAAAAAATAAAATAAAATAAATATATATATATATATATATATATATACTGTTGCATCACCAGGGTTCCAGTATCCAGTATATATATAGGCAATTGAAATAGTTGGCTGCACTCTCGGATTTCCTTAGAATTTTACTTTTATTGAAATATTTAAGAGAAGATCAACATTTCAGTCCCTCTTGTGGACTTGCATCAGGATCATGACGAAAGTTCACAAGAGGGACTGGAACATTGATCTTCTCTTAACTATTTCAATAAAAGTTACATTTTCAGGAAATCCGAGAGTGCAGCCAACTATTTCAATTCTATATATATATATATATATATATATATATATATATATATAAAAACACCCTACATAGCACAATGACTTATGGGGCTGGCATAGATTTTCTGATGAGGACATGAAAACTGCATATGAATGGTAAACCTGTACAACATGTGGAGTTGTAAACCGGATAGGTAGAGTTGATGCAAGTTAGAGGTGGCAAAAGAAGCAAAACCAAAACGCAGACAACATAGCAACAGATACAGTATCAGTATACGCGAAGAAGGAGCCTCAAAGGGGAAGAAGGCCCTAACACACGTACCGCGAGCGTGGAAAAGAGCCAGATGTGAAAAGATGACAACTATGAGCTTGCAAGGCTGGCAGCCTGTGGTTGGGCCCTAAAACGCAGGGGACGGCAGCGGCTACGGGAGAGTAGGAGTAACCGAAACTCCAGAGCGCGTTGAGTATCAGACCTAGCCAGAGAGCTCAGGCGGAGAAAACCACGCTAATCGCCAAGCAGCGGAGACCTGCTAGAAAACGAGGTGAATAAAAACAGCGCATAAGCAACCCAATGTGCGCGTGAGTTTGAAAGTGAGTAAGTGTGCGTGCTGGCATACTAGCTAATGACAAAAGACGAAGCAATTAAAAACTAGGTTTGGTGAGACCCTGCTAGACGCCAAGCGGCGAGAGAGGGTCTATCTATGAGTTGGCGCCGCGGGACCACTAACCTAAGGCGAAGAAGCCAGGGGAAGAATTACCAACTAGTGGACACCTAGGACCCTGATAGCCAGCCACAGCTAACTAAGAGGGGAGGGAAGGTAGTGTGAGAGGATAGATTTGCTGAATGTGTATCAAAGACGTGAGTGTTAATGAGGACACACCGCAGAGCCAACCGTAACCGAAAGCAGAGCAAGCACGTCAGTATCCAGGCGGACGGCTGAAAGGAGCGAGCCAGGGCTGTAGGTAACAAAAACAGGGTTGGTGTAAACCCCATGGGGGTCACGAGACCCAGTGCGAGTGTGAGTGCGTGTGTGATCGTGTGTGGGAGTGCTGGCATACTAGCTAAGCCAAAAGGCGAAACAATTAAAACTGGTGACAGGTGAGGCCCTGCTAGATGCCAAGCGGCGTGAGAGGCTCTATCTATGCGTTGGTGCAAGGGGATAACGTGGCCACTGAACGTTGTGGCGGGGAGTCGGCCTCTCGGTGAAGGCTAAACATAAGATAGAATGGAAGTGACAGGTGAGGCCCTCCCTATGCCACAATGCGAAGCGACTAACTATGATTTGGCCCGAGGGGCGTAGTACCTCAGAGTATGAGGATGGGTGTTGGCCTCGCGGGACCACTAACCTTGGGCGAAGAAGCCAGGGGGAATTACAACTATTGGACACCTAGGACCCTGACAGCCAGCAACAGCTAACTAAGAGGGGAGGGTAACGAGTGAGATTGGGGGATGCACTGTGAGTGAAAAGAAAGAGGGGGTGGGGTACGAGGAAGAATCGTAGGGCCGATGGTGGTCAGGCTGTATGGGGTATGCAAGCAGGAAAAATAAATAAATAAATAAAATAAATAAAAGTGCCTAGGCGTGTAAAACCCACGGGGCTCATAAAAAGGCCAGAAAGTGCACTTGGTAGCAAAACATAATGATTTGTCTGGAAAATAACGCAGCCCAAGTATGGCAGGCAGGTGTGTCAGCCAAACAGGGAAACGAAAACCCGAAACCAAACGCGGGACAGACGCTTGCGACGGGACCAAAACCGCACGTGAACAGCAACTACGAAGCGTAAGATCGCGTACCGACGCAGCAATAAAAGGAAACTATAATGGGATAAATTATCCATCTGAGTTATATTTATACATTTTGTAAAAATGTTTTTATTTTTTAATTTTTTTTTATTATTATTACATTCCCACTTGCAAAGTCTGGATTCAGGGCGACAGATAATAAGTGTTGGGAGGCATTACATTGACAACCGTTTAAGAGAGTGCAAGTCAATGGCGGAGAAACAAGCGAGCGGTCATTGAACTGACATTGACCATAAAGTAAATAGAGCGAGATACAGGCTCTGCTGTGCAGCTAAGTGCCCACTAACATTTTGTACACAATCCAAATGAGCATAACATTGGAGGCTCTGTATTTAAGGAAGAATATGGAAAACAGCCATCCAGAAAAATAAAGGAAAAAACATGGAACCATCAGTGTATTCAGCAACAATTATTCTGATCTAATAAAACAAAATTTTGTATTTATAACAAGTATGGAGTATCTTTATTAAAAATTACACGAAATATTATACCTATTTTTTTTTTTTTTTTATTAAGGGGGAAAGCAAATGAAAAATAGAATAACAGGACACGAAAAAAAAAAAAGAAAAAAAAAAGTTAAAAGTACATGAGAAGGTATGCGGGGCGGCCACATGGGTGCATAATAGGTAGTGAGAGAAGCTCTTAATGTGAGAAAGGTGTCGCGGCAGCGAGGGGGTTAACCGCAATGAAGGTAGAACGGGAAGTGCAGCAAGCTGAGCCGCCAGCGGAGGTGAGCAGCGTCGTAGCCGGGCTGACTCCACGAGAGCCAGGGCCAAAAGGGGGCGACGCAGAGGACGAGAGGGAGAGCTCCGGACAGAAAAACCAACCACCCACCCACACCCCGCTCTGCAGCAAGGCCAACCCGCGAACCGAGACCACGCGAAAACGGGAAACAAAGAGCAGCACTCACCGAAACCACGCCACTGCCCGACATGCAACCATGAATCCCCAAGATTGACAGCATAGCAAAGGGACCCCCTCCATGGCCAGGCAAGCAGAACCTGCCGACAACACCCCTGCTAAACAGGAGCATGCAAACAAGAAACAGCCACAAGCATCTGGAGGGAGGGAGAGGGGGCAACCCCCGATACAGGATCCAGCCTTCGCCCAGAAACACCCGGTAGAGAAAGCCACAGGAGACCCACGGTGCAGAACGCTCAGAAATGAACATGGATGGAACGAAACCGGCAAGGGAAAAACCGGCAGGCCAGGTAAGAAGAAACCACGAGGGAGCAGATGGCGACCGGACATAGCGACATGCGAGTCGCTAAAAAATGTACCGGACGGAGGAAGGTGAGTAGGGGGGTTTAAATAGGGTAACATGCCCCTCCCACAACTGCAGGCCAAGCCTTTACATATATTATACCAATATTTGCAGACTGTCAGATTGAACTTGTGAAAACAGGAGTGTATAAAGGTGAAGTGTGTGTGAATGCAGGGGTGTGTTGGTAAACCATGTCACTGTGTGTGAATAAAATAGTGTGTTACATAGCTGAAAAGAGACTTGCGTCCATCAAGTTCAGCATTCCTCACATCTGTTTTTGCTGTTGCATGTGTCTTAATGCAGTGGTGTGTTTGTAAGGTAAAACACTACGTGTGAATTCATGGGGAGCCAATTTAAGAGCCACAGCCACTACAAGTGCAGTGATTCGAGTATGCCTTAAATGGACATCACTGTATGAGCTTTCTCTTTCTTTGTCACTTCAGATCTCCCTATTGCAATAATTCATCTACCCACTTTTATCTCTGATTACCGGACCCCGATTCTCTCTCTGTTTATTAACTCTCTATATTTAGTAAATCTCACTAGTGTAAGCCTCACTTGTCTCTCTCTTTTCCCCAGCCTCTATTTGTGTCTCTCCTGCGGTCTGTCTTTCTAACCCCCCTTTCTCTCCTGTCTTTCTCCCTAGGCCTATTAATATGTCTTCCACTCCCTTGCCCCTCTTTCCTTGCCTTCGTGCTGTGGTTGGCTGGCTGGGTGCTGCTGTCTGTCTTCCTCACAGCACAGCTTGCTTAGGTTCCCTGGAGGAGCTTCTCTGTGTGCTGGGGGCGGGGCTATGATGTCATTTCCTGTCCTGTCAGAGCCCCTCACACAGGAAGTGACTGCAGCACTGAGCTCTCTGACAAAACATTTGCAGGGTCAGAGCATGTGCAGTGTAGGAAGCTGGCATTGTGGACTAGTTATGGAGATTTACTGATCTCCCTTACTGGCCCACTACTGCTCAGCTGCTGCCGGGCCCCTGCCTGCCTCGGGCCTTTAATCCATGATTGAAGTGTCTGAGTGCTCAGTCCGTCCCTGCCAGTGGCATGCATTTGTAGACGCACACAAAACAATACAAACCCCCAGACACACAAAAATATACACTGCTAGACATTCAGGTACACAATGACACAATAACAGATACACACGTATACACAATGATATGCAGAGTGACATACACTCATACACAAAGAAACACATGCACAAATGCACACTGCCACATCGCCACACCACACACACACATAAACATGAACACACACTCAGTTAAACACTAACACACACTCAGATAAACACCACTCCACACATATAATCACTGCCACACACACAATTACACACATACACTCAAATGCACATTTCTGTACACACATAAACACAAATCCAGACTTCAGTGCTCTTCTGTTTGCATACCTTTTGTTTGCAGTAAACTTTCTATCTCCCATATGCCGTATCCGCAGCGGTCTGTGGAGAAAGGATATGAAATCACTTCCTTCTAGTGCAGCTCTGCTGCTTGGGGAACAGTCAGCAGGTTTTGTCTGTTCAGGGGCTTAGGCTGGTGCGGCTACTGAATGTGATCAGTTTGGGGAGATATTTCTATTTCCCCAGCAAAACCGCATAGTGTTATAGGACACCTGCCCTTGACCAGACCCCTTAACAGAGAATGGGCTGCTGCAAAGGACAGTGATAAACCAGTTCAGTCCATTAAGTGGCTTGTTCCCTCATAGATCTGCAGTGTATTGTGTCAGGGAGAGATATATTTCCCAACCAGACCATACACTGTTGGGGCACCTGCGGCAGCGCCCCACCAGTTTTTATGTGGGGGGCGGGGGGGAATGATTTGCAATAGTTTAGAAACATTAAGGTTCTTTTTCTAGGGGAAGGTGGGGAGGTAATCTAAAAAATTTGGAGGGAAAAAGTACATTAACATACTCCAGTCATTGCCTATGTAGTTACATAAGACATATAAGTTGAAAAGATAAGAAAAAGACATAAATTGAAAAGAGACATACGTCCACCAAATTCAGCCTCTTTCAATATCTGTTTTTGCTGTTGATCCAAAAGAAGGCAAAAAACCCAGTTTGAAACACTTCTAATTTTGCAACAAGCTAGTAAAAAATCCTTCTTGATCCCAGAATGTCAGTCAGATCTCTCCTTGGATCAAGAATCTATTACCCCACAATTTAAAAATGATATCCCTGAATATTATGCTTTGCAAATATTTATCCATGTGTGTATGTGTGTCCGAATAATAATAATAATAAAAAATCTTTAAATCTGAAACTGATGGCTGTGTACAGAAGCTTTCTTGAGAGTTATTAGGCATGTCAAAAAGAAAATGGGCCAGATTAAAAACCTGTAGCCTGTAGCATTTCAGCATGTTTTGTAGGGATGTGCATGGGCAAAAAATTTGGTTTCAGAAATTCGGGTAAGTAAAAAACAATTTCCGCTTCGGCATTTCAGACCAATGGTATTCGGTTCGGCACTTCGAAACTGCCGAATGGCATATGCTTTGGACAATCGGCATTCGGGCATTCATTTCGGGAATTTGGCAGTTTGCCATGTCATTCGTTTCAGGCATTCGGCTGTTAGGAATGTCGTTGGTTTTGAAAAATAAACATTTGTGTGTTTTTTTCTTAAACAGCAATGTTTTACATTGCATAGTGGACCACAGCAGCACCCAGACCACTTAATCTTAAAGAAGTGGTCTGGGTTTAATTAATAATTAGTAGTGTTAGTTTAGTATATATACAATGTACAAAATTTTACTTTCACTATACAGATAGTGCAGCCAATCAGGGAGCACTACCAGCACGCAACACTTCTGCACACTATTTAATCCCACCCCTGTGACACCATATTTGTGGAGAGTTTAGGAGCAGATAGTGAACAGAGTGTGAGAGCAGAGAGAAAGCAATTTGTGTGTGAACAAGCAAGTGAGAGAGAGAGAAAGAGCAAAGTGAGAGCAAGTGATGGCTGATAGGGAGAGCTGTGTGGGGTCCTCTATGGAGAGTTGTTGTGGTGGTGGTGGTAGTGGGGTAGTTGTGGGAGATTTACCCCAGGAGGCTGGTGGGAGGGAAGGTAGGCGTTCTAGGGGCAGGGAGGGTGGTGGCACTAGCCGCTTCTGCTGTTTCATTTTCCTCTGCTTCAGCAAGTGTACTACTACCTGTGCTCTGCCTCTTAACACTAGTACTGGTGGAGGAGCTAGTAGGGGTACTACCAGGAGAGACATGACGGCTATAAGTTTCCTCAGTCACTTTGCTTGAGGGGAGAATATGAGGAGGACGTGGACAAGCCATTATGGTTTATTTTGTTTTATTACATTTTGATTTAAATTAAATCACAGAAAACTAAAACACACAAAATTATTCACTGTAGCAGAGTCACAGTGCAGCAGAGAGATACCCTGGCAATCAGGCTACCTGGCAACAGCTAAAAAACACAAAATTAATCGCTGCAGTAAAGTCACCGTGCAGCAGAAATACACCCTGGCAATCAGACAACCTGACTTGTATAGCCACACACTCTCTGACCCTCCACCCCCCTTCAAAAAAGAAACAAAATGCAGAAGAAAAAAAAGCAAAACTCTCTCTCTGTCTCCCAGGAACACAGACTTAAAAGCAATGTGGCTCCCCAAGTTTGCAACAAGTAAAGTACAATAAATGTAATGTAATTTATCTCTCTCAGTCTCTTGTGCTGTCACAACTAGTCTTGCCACATGAATGCAAGCCAACACCCTGACAGCCTGATTTATATACTATCCCACCTCCATGACTATGTGTGCCTTCATTGGTCAAGTGTCAGTAACAAAATCACCATTAATTGGCTGTCCTCTAACATCAATCACAAGAATTTGCTCATTTCATTGGACAGGGAATAGTGAAACAGGATTGGGCAAGCAAGCATTACATTGCACAAAATGGATTAGATTCCTGTCATCACGGAATTTTCCCTCCCTCTCTCTTGTTTTGCCACTTTTCAGAAATCCGAGTCACTTTGGAACTTTGGCGCGTCAGAACCTCAGCACTTCGGACATACGTAAGCATCCAAATGGCATGAAATTCGTACGAATGTACATTCAGAATGAAACGAGTTGCACATGTCTAATGTTATGCAAATAACTAGTCTCATTTCAGGAGGAATTTCAGAGTACTCCCTTTGAGTTGCCATTCAGGCACCAGAGCCAGCTGCCCATGAGTTGGGGCATTCTAATGGCCTATCTATTCAGGGACCATCACTGGCTCATAGCACCAGAGAGTGGGGTTAAAGTGCCCTCAGCAGAAAGAAGCAGGGAGCCACCTTGAAAGTTGCAGAGAGTGAGCACAGCTGCAGCTGCTCCTGGTTCCTGCCAAATGTAAGTGTACAAGATTCTCATTTCCTCTCCCCAATTGCCTAAGTGTTTGCCTGAGGGCTTATTAAGCAAGGGCATTTACCAAAATATATAATTATTATTCATATTTAAAGCCAGGGAAGCCTGGGGTGATAATCACCTTTGGGCACACACCAGAGTGCACATATACCTCTGATCCTACTAAAAGTTGAATGAAATTTATGATGAAACATATGATGTAGACTACATGACCTAATCTAAATATTATAATGAGAACTACACTATCTTCCTTTGATTGCATATTTCTTTGTCTTGTACTATATTGGATTGTACTGAATGTTTTTATTGTTTTAGTAAGAAAAAAATAATAAACATCTAATAAAAAATAAATAAATAAAGTCAGCGAAGCCAAGAGAGGACAAGAGAAAGGAGTGAAAATTTAAACATTTCTGACCGCACTATGCTGCCTGTGACTAATAATTTTAATAATCCATACAGCACACTGCATAGTATGGGCTCAGCTACCCAGTATCCACCATCTTCACTTTGTAGCTGAGATCTGAGACACGCATTCTGTGGTTAGTTAAAAAGTTGCAGGCTCGGGATTTTACTCAGATTCTGATTTCAAGTCTCAATGATAGTTACATAGTTACATAGCTGAAAAGAGACTTGCGTCCATCAAGTTCAGCCTTCCTCACATTTGTTTTTTGCTGTTGATCCAAAAGAAGGCAAAAAAACCCAGTTTGAAGCACAATTTTGCAACAAGCTAGAAAAAAAATTCCTTCTTGACCCCAGAATGGCAGTCAGATTTATCCTTGGATCAAGCAGTTATTACCCTACACTGAAAGATTATATCCTTGAATATTCTGTTTTTGCAAGTATGCATCTAGTAGCTGTTTGAAAATCTGTATGGACTCTGATAAAACCACTTCTTCAGGCAGAGAATTCCACATCCTTATTGTTCTTACCATAGGCGTGCGCACGGGGTGTGCCGGGTGTGCCTGGGCACACCCTAATCCCCGTGGCACGCCTATGGTTTGAGTCCTGCAGGAACAGCGTTCCTGCACTTTTTTTGAGCAGGAACGCTGTTCCTGCAGGCACTCAGTGCCCCTTGTCTCACCTCTTGCCCCTGTCATGGGGGGGCAAGAGGTGATGGATTCCCCCCCCCCTCTCCAGCTCAGCCGCGGCGAGGGAGCTGTCTGGTCTCTGCGGTCTGCTCCCTCTCGCCGCGCGCTGATGCCGGGAGCCGGAATATGACGTCATATTCCGGCTCCCAGCTCCAGCAGACAGCCCGCGCGGCGAGAGGGAGCAGACCGCAGAGACCATACAGCTCCCTCGCCGCGGCTGAGCTGGAGAAAGGCGCCCGCCCCACTGGACCCCAGGGAAAAGGTAGGAGGCTGGGTGGACATTTGTTTTTAATTGAAAATATAATAATTTGTTCTTGTGTGTGAGTGTGTGTATGTGAGTGTGTGTATGTGAGTGTGTATGTGAGTGTGTGTGTGTGTGTGAGTGTCTGTGTCAGTGAGTGAGTGTGTCTGTGTGTCAGTGAGTGTGAGTGTGAGTGTGTGTGTCTGTGAATGTGTGTGTGTGTGTGTGTGTGTCAGTGAGTGTATGTGTGTCTGAATGTGTCTGTGAGTAAGTGTGTGTACGCATATATATATGTATATATATATATATATATATATATATATACACACACACACACACACGCAGAGCCGGCGCTATCTGAGTGCCGGCTCTGCTCTAAGCCAACATGGGCCGGCGGGGAGACCAAAAGATCTACCTCACCGGCCCACAGCAGCATGGAGGGAGGCAGGAGAGGACCCAGGGAGCTCTAGACAGAAGCTCCGCCAGGTTCCTCTCGCGATATCTGAGTGTTGCTGCGGCAACGCTCAGATCTCGCGAGAGTTAACTCTAGCCCTGCAGGCTAGAGTTCACTCTCCACTGGACCACCAAGGATGGCACATGGCAGCAAGGATTTACTAATCTGCCAAATCCCTCCAAACATACAGCACACATATACAGCACCTACACACATACAGCTCACACACACACAGTACACTAACCGCACCCTCACAAACACACACAGCACCTTTAAAAAAAAAAAAACGCAACACCCTCACACACAGCACACTAACAGCACCCTCACAAACACACACACACACAAACAGCACCCTCACAAATACACGACACTCACACAAACAGCACCCTCACAGGACAAACATACACACACAAACAGCACAGTCACAAACACACACACACAAACACCCTCACATCACACTAACAGCACCCTCACACACACATCACACTAACAGCACACTAACAGCACACACAGCAGTGTGTGTGTGTGTTTGTGTGTGTGGATATATCTATCTATATATATATATATATAGATAGATAGATATATCCACACACACACACGCGGCGTGTGTTTGTGCTTTAGGGTGCACACCCAAATGCAATAGGCTGCGCACGCCTATGGTTCTTACAGTAAAAAAACCTTTCCTTTGCCTTGATTGTTGCTTAAGCTTTCTTGACTCCATATTACTGCTGCAGATTAATTATATTTCCAGCTGCAAAGGTAATATAGTCTATCAGTAACCTGCTGCCAGGGCCGGTACAAGGATTTTTGCCACCCAAAGCAAAAAAATGTTACTGCCTCATTTGCTCTACCCACTCAGACTGATACACACACACTGACCCATGCCGATTGACTCACACACTGACTCATGCTGACTAATTAACACACTGACCCATGCCGACTGACCAGGGCCGGCGCAAGGATTCTTGCTGCTCTAGGCAAATAAAATGTTCCCGGCCCTATTTGCTCCACCCGCTCATGCAGACTGACACACACACTGACACTGACCCATACAGACTGATGCACACACGATGACCCATGCAAACTGATGCACACACACTGACACATGCAGACTGACTCACACACAAGCAATGACCCATGCAGACTGACTCACACACACGCACTGACCCAAGCAGACTGACATACACAAACACTGACCTATGCAGACTGACATACACAAACATACTGACTGAAGCAGACTGACAAACACTTTCTGAAACATACACTGTGAGGTTTTACCCTCTTATCCCTCCCATTTACCCTCTTATCTTCATAACATATATCACTTTGCTGTTCGTGTGTTCCAGGTATCTTGAAGCTGTCTGGAGGCCCATCACTCCATTTCTCAGCACCATTTTCTGCTTTCCTCCCACCCACTTGTCCCCATGTACAGGGCAAAGGGTGGGAATGAGCAAGTGATGCACATTTACACTACCGCAATGGATGTCTCATGTCTGGGAGGGGGACCTGTGTTCTGCCAGGAGCTAGTCTACAGCCATGAGTGTTCTTGTGTCCTATGTATATTCATATTAATGAATAGATTTCTAGACACAGAATATATTTGTTTATTGTTATCATATCACCTAGAAGGCTATTTTTTAGCAGCTAAACAATTTTAAATGTGGTAGCCTTTGTTCATTATGAAAATCTTCAATTCCCCTTATTAATTTTGTTGTCCGCATCTGAACTTTTTCTAGCACTATAATATCCTTATTTAGAACAGGTACAAAAAAATGCAAGGCATAGTTTAGGTGTGGTCTTATCTTTGATTTACAAAGAGACAAAATGATGTGCTTGTCCAGAGAATTAATACCCCATTGTACGCATGACAATACCATTCTGGCCTTAAAAAAACACCCAAGTGCGCAAATAGGTCTTCTTTAGTGGATACCTTATACAAATATAAAGTAGATAACCCCTCAAAATAAATGACATGAATCAGGATGTTTAACCTTAAAAATATAAATAAACAAACACAAAATAATAAGAGAAAAATCATTGCGTAACATATAAAATAATTATAATACTGGTGAAGATAAATAGAACCACTTACAAATTTCAGAGCTATGATCCAAGGATGGCAGTAAAGCAAATGGTTTTATTGATACACTGAACAGCCACTACCTTAAAACGACTGATAGGCGAAGTGAATTACATTGATTATATCGTTACAATGGCACCTGTCAAGGGGTGGGATATATCAACCAGCAAGTGAACACATGTAAACTGTTTTATTTAGCCTTCCTCTTTTTTTAAAGGAACACTATAGGGTCAGGAACACAAACATGTATTCCTGACCCTATAGTGTTAAAACCACCCTCTAGCCCCCCTGGGCTCCTCATGCATCCCTAAACATAGCAAAAATCCTACTTGTATTAAAGCCTGAAGCTGTAGCTCTGCATGCTGTTTGCCTCAGAATAACAAACTGTCTGCTGACATCATCAGAAGTGGTGGCCTGATCCAATCACAATGCTTCTCCATAGGATTGGCTGAGACTGACAAGGAGGCAGATCAGGGGCGGAGCCAGCGCAATTCAAACACAACCCTGGCCAATCAGCATCTCCTCATAAAGATGAATTGAATCAATGCATCTCTATGAGGAAAGTTCAGTGTCTGCATGCAGAAGGAGGAGACACTGAATGTTTGGATGCATTTTAGGCAGCCATGACCCAGGAAGGATCTCTAACAGCCATCTGAGGAGTGGCCAGTGAAGTTATCACTATGCTGTAATGTCAACACTGCGTTTTCTCTGAAAAGACAGTGTTTACAGCAAAAAGCCTGAACGTAGTAAGGCTGAACTTGATGGACGCAAGTCTCTTTTCAGCTATGTAACTATGTAACTATGTAATGATTCTACTCACCAGAACAAATTCAATAAGCTGTAGTTGTTCTGGTGACTATAGTGTCCCTTTAATTACCAAGTTGCAGCTGGAGGTTAGCTTCCCTGGGTCCACAAAATTTTCCACAGGGCTCTGGATTGTGGGCTGCAGGCTCCTTTGAAGATATCCTGCACGGCTTTCACAAGCTGACATTCAGGAGTAAAGACGGGGCAGGCAGTAAAGTCCATTTAGGGGCTTGTTTATGTAGGCCTTGTTAATTGTTTAGGCCCTTTAGCAGCGTACTGGCTATCACCCACTGATGGTGAATAGGAACAGACCAAAAAGGTTTTGCAAGGCTTCCTCATTAAATGCTTAGCTTACTGCCATTAGCAAAAAGTGTAAAAATAATATGCATCTGTTTTCTCTTGTTATACTTGTTTTGTTGTTATGGATAGTGTTCCTGTATTGATACTGTAGTTAAAAAAGAAAATCCCGAGCCACAGCAGACTGAGAAAAAAAACATTTGAAGACAGAAATGAGGTGCAAAATGTTGCGTTCATGTAACAGATTGTTCATAGGGAATCCTTTGTAAATAACACAGTGTATATTTCAAACAGACTCTAAAAGCTAGCTGAGCAACATAGGAAATGTAGTCCAGAAACAATTTATGGTGTCAAGGTTAGCCATTAGTGCACTAGAGAGACATCCGGGTTCTTAGACGACTTTTAGTTGTCAAAACGACGCTGGACGTCCCCACGCTATGCATAAGGACTTCTAGCGTCGCCAGAATCCCCATAGGAAAGCATTATTCATTGTTTTCCTATGGGGATACCAGAGACGCTGGAAGTCCTCATGCATAGCGTAAGGACGTCCAGCGTCGTTTTGACGTCTAATAACCTAGAAGTCCCTCTAGTGCAGTGCATTAGATCCTAATGCAAGCAAGGCCATTGCCGCGCATGCACATTTGGTCTCCCCCGCTGGCTGGACCATCGGTGCTGGACCCAGGTGAGTGACAGAAAGGGTTATTAACCCCTTCAGAGTTGCAGGAGTGGCCTCGACAAAAGAGGAAGCTACAGTGCCAAGAAAACAAGTTTGTTTTCCTGGCATTATAGTTTCCTTTTAAACACACACACCTGGCTGTGTAACACTAGTGCCCCATGTACCCACAGATCATAGAAACAAATTCACATTCAAGTTCAAATGTACCGCATGAAATGTGGCCACTCAGGAGAAACAATGTATTTTCAGGTATACCATCTAGAACAGGGACAGGCAATCTTCGGCACTCCAAATGTTGTGGACTACCTCTCTCCTGATGCTTTGCCAGCATTATGGCTGTAAGAGCATTATGGAAGATGCGGTACACAAAATCTGGAGTGCCAAATGTTGCCTTACCAAGATCTAGAAGTTTTCAATGAAAAGCTGTAGGCTTCGGCAGCTGAAACATGCCATCAAGGATAGTCGGAGCTTCGCAGTCAGCAAACATCTGAAGTGCCTCAATTCTCAGACATCACCAGGCATCCACACAATATGGTAAAGCAACCGGCATATCAATAGGTCAATAACTGTGGCAATTTAATTACAGAGCTCATGGCTGATGCTTCTGAACGCCATGACAGTCAATCCCTGCCCCATATAGGTGCCCTTTTGTAAGTGACCACAGGAAAGCATAAATTGAGGAAAGTTTTTGTAAGCATTTTGAGCAGTACGTATTGCAGTTAATATGTTAAGCTTCCATGTTAAAATTAGTGTAGGACCAACTGATATTTTCAGTACTGTGACGTAGTGGTCACAACACAAAATGGCCATATGGTACAACTGGGTCCCCTGTATTTGTTTGCTAAGATAGGTGATTTTGATTAGCCTTGTAAACTTATAATTATTTTTTAAACCACCAAGCAAACACTTTTAAACAAATATACAAACCAAAATAAAGCAAGAAACGTCATACTAGTCGAATTAACCAATACAATTTTATACCCCATATATGTGCATGGCTGGGGCGGTGTATTGGGGAAATAGGGTATATCCGACCATCAAGAAAATATCTAATATCTAAGTTATCTTCAGATATGATTTTGTATTCATAACTGTTGCAAGGCGACAAGATCTTCCAACTGCACATGTGTAAATCTGTCAGGCACGTCCAATGCACTTTACCAGTATTCCTAGGGATAGGACACTGATTGGTTAGATCAGTGTCTCTTTTGAAGTGGGTGTGGAAAGCATAAGAAAGAAAAAGCAGTTAAACATGAAAACAAAATCCAATTTACTTTTTTTTGTCTTCCATAGTGAGGCAACTGTCTCATTCAAAACTAAAGCTTTTGAATGAAATAGTTGTCTCAAAGTGATGCATAACACTTTAATGAATACATTCACAGCAGAGCTTCAAAAGAAACAAGGGTACATACTACTTAGGGATAATACTACATACGTAACATATAAGGATGGACAATGGGAAATGAGGGAAGAAAACTGAAATTCAAAGAATTCAGCAATTGTGGCATATAGGAATAATCTTGTATGAGAAAATAAAACAAAGTGAAATCTACAACGTAATATTCTACAGATATCTAAGGGCAAACATTACAAACATTGCAAAACCCATATGCAAAGTATAAGCAACTATAAAATCAGATGAGTTACCTTTTCACCCTTCTGTTCCTGGGTCTTTTCCACACATGTAGATATAAAGTAATGGTTAATAAAAAAAGAGAAGTGAATGGCGCTTACACAATAGAGTGA